CGGTGAAGCAGAAGTAGGACCTCCACACAAAGCAGCACCCTGAGGCTCAGCACCCCCAGACTCCGCACCCTCCGACTCAGCACCTCTAGGCTCAACACCCTCAGGCTCAGCACCCCCAGGCTCCACACCCGCAAGCTCATCCACCCCATGCTCCTCACCCCCACGCTCAGCACCCCCAGACCCAGCACCCTCAAACTCCGCACCCCCAGACGCAGCACCCCCAGACGCAGCACCTCGAGCAGCACCTGAGCCGACAGCTACCTTGACAGGCGCAGGACCATAGAGAGGGTCTACCTGAGACACACCTGAGGGAGCAGGATCCTGGGGCGGGAGGGGGTCTACCGGAGGGGGGCAGGGAGCAAGGAAGAGCGGCGGGGGCGGGAGAGGGGCAGAGCGGTAGGGGAAGAGACGGTAAAAGGGAACCGACTCGTCAAACACGACATCCTAAGAAGGGAGGACACGATGTGAGGTGGGGTGGTAAAACTGCCAACCAGGCGTGTCAAGGACAAAGCCAAGGAAGACGCAGAGGATAGCATGGGCGAAGAGCTTGTCCGCGGACGTATCGCAAACAAAGGCACGAGAACCCCAGACCCGGAACACCGACGCATCGCCAACCTCCCCCGTCCAACGTAGTGTGGGCGAGGTCTCCGGTAAGGAGACACGGGGCCAGAGGTTGAGCAGATGCGCAGCGTTCCGGACCGCAAACAGCCACAGAAAATGGGGAGCAGCCGCATGGATCATGGAGGTACGAGCGACCTCCATGACTAAGCCAATGCGGCGCTCAGCAATCCCATTTTGCTGAGGGGAGTTCGGAAGCGTGAACGACTGGAGAATACCCTCCCCACGACAAAATTCCCGCAAGAGGTTGGAGGAGAACTCACCACCTCTGTCAGAGTGCAGACGTAGGACGGGAAGGTCCTGGCCGAACCGCTCCCAGAGCTGGAGACGGACTGTGCGGATCCAAGGGATCAAGACATCAATGACCTCACCCTTGCTGCGCATGGGGAAGACCGTGGTGTACCGCGTATAGTCGTCAACTACCAGCAGAAAGTAGCGCTCGCAGCCCTGTCCACTGACGCGGACTGGTCCCCACACGTCCATGTGGAGAGTCTGCTGGGGGGGAGCAGTTGTCGGGGGAAACGAGGAGGAGTGAGGAGCGGCGCGCTGCCGCCCCTCGACCCAAGGAAGGCAGGGCTGGGCAGTCGAGGGCGGGAGGGGAGGTAGAGACCTGGGTAGACCAGAGACAATATGACGGGAGTGCATGCCACGAAGGCGTGGCAGGGAGGGGTGACTTAGGCGGTGGTGCCACAGAATAGTCTGGTGCGACAGGAGGCGACACGAGCAAGGGGCGGCTACCTGGCCTGACGCGGACTCCTGAGCAGACACAGCTACCTGAGGAGGCTCGGTAGCGACTATGTACAAACTCGACCCTGGCCGACGAGTGAACGTGGCCAGGTGACGCCCCATCCGTGTGCACGTGCAGATCGACACACGCTGACCCCCAGGAGTGGTGGTAGTGACCATCACATCCTGGAGGGCAGCGGTACTCACCAAGTTCGTAGAGAATGAGGGGAGGTGAAGACCTGACAGTGAGCCGGACGGAACCGCTGGACACGGGAGGACAATGGAGGAACAGGCAACGACCGGGCCCCCAGAGGGGTCAGCCAGTCAGACTGGGACAGGTGCAGGGAGAGGAGTGAGAGTGGTGCTGTCACGAAAGAAACAGCGCAAGGCGCCTGAGTCCAACGTGAAGGTGTGCAAGGCCTGAGCAGACCTTAGAGAGAGTACCTGACTCACTAGCACCTAGAGCAGCAGCAGCTCTACCTGGGTCAGGCAGCACACACCGGTAACAGTCACCCTCAGCACTAACAGACAAAGCATACATAGCAGAAAGAAAAACATCAAAGTCTAGGTCAAAGATAGCAACCCTAGACCTAAGTAGATGTGCCCAGCGAGGGAGCTCGACATCGTCACCAAACTCAGCACGCCAAGCGTCGTCGAGTCGGGAAAAGCAGCGGTGCTGAGTGTGAAGCTTCCCGCATGTCTGACCAGCACGAACACCCGTGCAAATAATATACGGGCAGCTATCACTTACCCCAGACGTCCCACGCTGAAACAACCACTCACGGAGCTGCTGGGGCGACTGGGTCTCGCTTCGACGCTGCTGCTGTTGCCGCTGGCAACCACCAGGGTCTCCATGCCAAGGTCCAGTCCTACCACCTCTAGTCCCACCGCCTTCATTGCCGCCACTCCCGCTGCCTCCACCGCCGCCACCAGAGCCCCCACTCCCGCCATCAGTCCCACCGCCGCCACCACGTCCACTGCCTCCACTACCTCCACTGCTGCCCCCACCACCACTCCCGCTGCCACCTCCACCACCCCTGCCACCCTTGCCCTTGCTGTTGCGGCGCTTCTCACTAGCAGAAGCAGCCCCGACGTCCTCAGCAACAGAGATGTCTACAGCAGCAGTAGAGGCATAGGAGGGGGCAAGGGGGGAGGGGGAGCACCCCTCAAAGAAGGGCGGGCGTGGAGTGCCACGAGCAGCACCTACAGCAACTGCACTAGTCTCAGCTGCGAGGAGATGCTGCTCGAGGAGGTCAACAGTGAGGGAGGTGGGGTCAAGTGAGAGAAATTGGTCCCTGATAGAGCGAAGAGAGTCAGGGAGGCGAGTGACCATGAAGTAGAGGGTGATGAACATCAGGGGCTGGTTCCTGTCAAGGAACTCAGCAAGGATGGTAGCACGGTAGCGAGCGTCGCTAGTGCGCAGGTGGGAAACCAGGTCCTCTACTGTGGCAAAAGCTGACAGCTCGGGGAACAGGTAGGGCAGTAGCAGTCGGCCTAGCGCAGCAGTGGCAGGCGAGGAGTAGCGAGCGACTACAGCGTCGTACAGGGCCTGTGCTGTCCTGTGCTGTTCGAATTGAGCGCATTCGGCTAATGGCAGGTGGTTGCGAATGGCTAAGCGGGCAGCAGCGTCGCGCGTAAGCCACTGTGAGCGAGTCGCTCTGTCAGCTGTGGCGGGAGGGGCGGTAGCGGCACCTGACGCGAGGTCAAACAGCAACATTTGTCCTTAGAATCGCTCAGTAGGTACAGCTGCAGTTCATCGAGCCACGTGTCAAACTGAACCGATCTGCCCTCATGATCGAACGCGAGAACCCTAAGCGAAGCCATAGTGGCGCAGTATGCAGGAGCAGCAGTAGCAGCAGTAGCAGCAGTAGCAGCAGTAGTAGTAGCAGCAGTAGCAGTAGCTGTAGTAGCAGTAGTAGGGGCCAAGGGGCAGAGGGGCCTGGGGCCTAGGGGCCGAGGGGCCGAGGTCGAGGGGGTCGAGGGGCTGAGTACGAAGGGGCCTAGGGGCCGAGGGGCCTAGGGGCCAAGGGGCCGAGGGGCCGAGTACGAAGAGGGGGGGGGGGGGGGGGGCGTGGGACCGAGGGGCCTAGGGGCCAAGGGGCCGAGGGGCCGAGTACGAAGGGGCCTAGGGGCCGAGGGGCCAAGGGGCCGAGGGGCCTAGGGGTCGAATAAGAAGGGGGGGGGGGGGGGGCGAGGGGCCGAGGGGCCAAGGGGCCGAGGGGCCGAGTACTAAGGGGCCTAGGGGCCGAGGGGCCAAGGGGCCGAGGGGCTTGAGGCCTAGGGTCCGAGGTCGAAGGGGCCGAGGGGCCTAGGGGCCTAGTACGAAGGGGGGGGTCCGAGAGGCCGAGAGAGGGTCGGACCGCGGGGCCTAGGCTAGGGGCGACGGGGGGGCCGCGGGGCCTAGGCTAGGAACGACAGGGCGACAGGCCGCGGGGCCTGGGCCTAGGCTAGGGGCGACGGGACGCAAGGGGTCGTGGGGCCGAGGGGGCTAGGTTAGAGGCGACGGGGCGACGGGCCGCAGGGTCTGTGGGGCCAAGGCTAGGGGCGACGGGGCGACGGGTCGCAACGGGCGACAGGGCGCGACGGGCGACGGGAATCGCGACGGGCGACGGGCGACGGGGGTCACGAGGCTAGGGGCGACGGGTCGACGGGCCACGGGGCCTGGGCCTACTCTAGGGGCGACGGGTCGCGAGGGGCCGAGGGGCCGAGGCTAGGGGCGACGGGCGACGCCAAGGGGCGACGGGTCGCGAGGGGTCGTGGGGCCGAGGCTAGGGGCGATGGGCGACGGGCGACAGGGGTCGCGAAGGGGCCGGGCTAGGGGCGACGGGCCTAGGGGCGTCGGCCCGGGCTAGAGGTGGGGACGGGCCGGGGCCTAGGGGCGACGGGCGCGAGGCTACGGGCCGGGGCCTAGGGTCGAGAGTGGCTAGCAGGGCAGCAGGTGGTGGGCCCGAAAAAAAAAACGGTCCTAGGAAGGGACTTGCTCTGAAACCATGTCAGAAATAATGAACGAGAATGAATGAACTATGAAAGAGTTGGGTACAAGTACTAACCCTAATTGGGTTGTACCCCTTATGGGCTACCCCAATACAGCCTACACAATGTAACCTATATATGAGTTTGACAAGAACGAGAGAGAGAGAACGAGAGAGAAAGAGAGAGAATGAGAGGGAGAGAACGAGAGGGAGAAAGAAGAGGGGAGAACGAGAGGGAAGAACGAGAGGGAGAGAATGAGAGAGAGAGAATGCAAGAGAGGGAACGAGAGAGAGAACGAGAGAGAGAGAGAACAAGAGAGAGAAAGAGAGAGAGAGAGAGAGAGAGAGAGAGAGAGAGAGAGAGAGAGAGAGAGAGAGAGAGAGAGAGAGAGAGAGAGAGAACGAGAGCAAGCCCGTGACTTCAGGCGTCTGCTAGCTAGATGCTCGAACGGTGTAGGAGCCGGGCCCTCAGGAACCACCTTCGAGCACCTGAGAGATGCAGCACTCGGGAACGCCGATGTCTTAGTGCAGCTACACGCACTCACCAACACGGCGCTAGCGGGAAAACTGAGCGCAGAGGCAGCAGATCTCCTCACAGCGTCGCGACTACTAGCTTTCTCGAAACCACAGGGCGGAACGAGACCGATAGCTGTGGGTGAATAATGTCTGCTACGCCTCATCGCCATGGCGGCTCTTTTCCTAGCCGCTCCCGCTGCGCGAGAGCACTTCATCTCGCTCCATTTTGGAGTAGTGATCACCGGAGGCATAGAAGCGGCGATACACACTGCGCGCACCTACCTGGAGGAGTTCCCAGGAGCGACGGCTCTACAGATTGACACGGCAAACGCCTTCAACGCAGTTGAGCGCGCGGCAGTGTTCGAGGGACTGAAAGGCACCGCCCTCGACTTCCTCGTGCCTCTCGTCTGCCTCTCATACGGCTGCTCATCTGCACTCTACCTCGACCAGGACTTTGGAGCTGAGCCACTTCATAGCGCTCAAGGCGTGCGCCAGGGAGATCCTCGGGGACCCATGCTATTCGCAACCAGCATCCACCCATGTCTTGTCGCCACGGCAGCGGCTCATCCGGAGGTGGTGCTTCTCGCGTACGCAGATGACATCACCGTGCTAGGCGAGGCGGCGAACTGCACGGTGGCCTTCACTCACCTCACAGAGGCCCTCCTCAGCCATGGCTTGGCTCACAACCCGGCAAAGTGCAAAGCATGGTCTGCCACCGCCTTGGATCCCGCCACCTTACCCCCAGGCATCAAAATCTCCCTGGACGGTGTCCGCGTCTTAGGCAGCCCCATTGGGCCACCCACCGGCTGTGCTGCTCGAGTGCGCGGACGCCTTTCTGGAGCAGCAGAGCCGCTACCGCTCCTCTCACAGATGGACCCGCAGCTATGCGTGCTACTGCTCACCCGCTGTGTGAGTCGCCGCGCCTCGTTCCTGGTCAGAGCCACACCTCTCGAGGCCCTGCCGCTAGGGGAATGGTCCGCCTGGGGGGAAGATCTGCTCCACACCTACCTGGCTGCCGCACACACAACGATCCCCAGGGACCGGGCAGAGAGGGACAGAATCTGGCAGCAGGCCACCCTGCTAGCGTCTCTGGGAGGCCTCGGCATCACAAACCCTGCAGTGGAGGGGGGATTCGATTACCTGGCTTCAGTCGTTTCTGCCGCCCACCTGCTGCGCTGCTTCGGCGACTCAGCAAACCCGGCTCTCACAAAACTCCTGCCGCTGATGGATGCTGACAGGGAGTCCACCTCCCTCCTCCCGAGACGCCTAGCTGCCTTGGAAAGCGGAGCTGCTGCCTGACGGGATTGAGGCTCTCCGAGTGGGGAGACAAAAGCCTAACGGGCCCAAGCTCCAACAGGCACTCTCCCTCGCGGTACACATAGCCCGGTACATTAGGCTACTGGATAGCTCGCGGGACATGGAGCTGAACCCACTGTCCGGCCATACGCAGAGGCTGCAGTCCCTCCTAGGCCCTGGAGCGGGGGACTGGTTGCACACTGTCCCCTCAATCTCTTCCCTCCGTTTCGGGCCCTCTCAGTTTTCCACGGCGGCCTCCTTCCGCCTGGGCCTGCCCTTACCTGTGCCAAGACGCTGCAACTGCAGATACCGTACCACCTTCCCTGATGACCGCTTGCCGAACCACCTGATGCGGTGTGAGAAAGGGGGGGGGGGAGAATTGCCACTCACCATGCCCTGCGGGACGAGTGCGCGAAGATAGCACCTGAAGCGGGCTTCACAGTGCACAAGGAGACGACGGCATACTCATCGGTCGAAAACCTCAAAGCGGATATCTCTATCCGCCATCCCGACACTGGTGAGGTATGGATTTGTGACATCACATTCACAGATCCCGTCTCCCACCAGGATGAGCAGGCCCGTAAGGCACCCAGATGGGCGGCAAGGATGCAAGCAAACAAGAAGGAGAGCAAATACGCCGGGCGGAGCGCTTGGGTGGGCTTTTACGCCATGGCTGTAGAGACGTACGGCTACCCCTCACATGGAGTCCTCGATTTCCTCCGCAGCTTCGCGGAGCTAGCGGGCAAGCGGCGGTTCAACGCAGCTCCAAAGTCGAGGGAGGTCGCTAAGCTACTTACCGAGTACCGGCAGCGATGGAGCGTGACCCTGCAGAGAGCCCAAGCCAACGCCCTCAGGAATAAGACCCATGAGGCTCTTACCGTGGATGTGCTAGGCCTGTAGGGCCCGTTTACTCCACAGGCAGCATCACTGCTGCTGACGAGGTGCATCTCGAGGCGAATGTCATACCTCGCGCGCACAACCCCACTCACCCTTCTGCCCGAAGAGGAATGGTCACGGTGGGGCCAGAAGCTGCTCCACACACTGCTCGACGCCTGCGGCGTGCGCCACCCAAGGGGGGATGCGGAGGAACAACGCGTGTGGGACCAAGCTTCCCTCACCCCGAGCCTGGGAGGCCTGGGGCTGGCGGACCCATTGGTGGAAGGGCGCTACAGCTACCTGGCAAGCTTTGTCCAGGCGCACGGACTCCTAGCCTCCCTGCCCAGCCCCGCAGGAGCTCACCTCTCCACCGCCCTGAACTGCAGGGTCCGGTTGAAGTGCTCAGGCACGCCGTTCTGCAGAGGGTTGTAGGGAACCGTGAGCTGATGCTGGATCCCCTTCTTCTTCAGCACTGCCTCAAAATCAGCGCCAATGAATTCTCCCCCGTTGTCAATGCGGATCACCTTCACCTTGTGTCCGCTCTTCCTTTGAGCTCTCGACATCCACTCCTTAAGAACAGCCGCTGCCACTTCCCCCTTAGTCTTGAGAGGGTACACCCACACCGCACGTGTGTGGTCATCCACAATGGTTAAGAAGTAGCGGCTGCCCGAGAGAGAAGGGGCCCTCGTAGGGCCCACCACATCCATGTGCACAAGTGCGAGCGGGGCCTTGGCTGGTCCCGTGCCGCTGCTGAAGGGAAACTTCGTGAACTTGGTCTCAAGGCATGTAGGGCAGCTCCCAACCTCCTTTGCTGCCCCCTTCACCTCCAACCCCTTCAAGCTCCCATCCTTCACCAACTTCTACAGCATAGAAAAATTAACATGACACAGCCTCTCGTGCCACGTCTCCCAATCAGCCTCACCACTCCCAGATGAGGCCTTTGCCCATGCAGTTGTCGCATCCACACCAGCAAGCACCTCACCATGTGGCTGCTGTGGCTGCTGCACCTTCTTGACTGCATCCAGGGCCCCATCAGTTGGTGCAATCTCCTCTCCTCCTGCTGTTGCCTTTGCCGTTGCTGCTGCCGCTGCCGTTGCTGGTGGTTTCCCGTTCCAAGGGATGATGGGCAGCTGCCACAGGTCCTTGATACATCTGCTCTTCTCCTCCAGGTTCCATAGCAGCAGCTTCCCAAGCTTTGCACGGCAGCTGGTTGGGTTAAAGGTCACTTTGGCCTTGCTCTTCTGCAGCCGGCGCACAGAAAAAAGGTTAGCGGACAAGCCTTCAACCAACAACACATTCCCCAGCCCCACAAGCCCCCCATTGGCTCCCATTACCATGGCATTCCCAACACAAATCACAGGGAGCAAAGCGCCTGAAGCGGCAACCACAAACTTAATCTTTCCGGGGGGCTTTACCTCATCAAGCAAATCTGCCCGTGGGGTCATGTGACTTGTGCAACCTGAATCTATCACCCAGTGAGTGAAGGGGTGCATCACAACCTTCCCAACTGAGCCCACATCACCCTCACTCCCTTTCACATCCTCAACCATGAGGAACATCCCAGGGTCGGCTTTACCGTGTGCACCATCACCTTGTGCACCTGAACCTTGCACAGCGCCACCTCGTGCACGTTCACCACTTGGCGGCTTCATGCCTGGGGGTGCCCATCCCTCTGGCCGGCTGAAACACTTGAACCACGGGTGTCCAGCCTTCTTGCAGTACCAGCACGCACCCTCGATTCGGGTGCTCCCCCTGCCACCAGAGCTCCCATGCCCCTCATTGTAGTCACCTCGGCCTCTCCCTCTGCCAAAGCCTCTCCCACGGCCTCGGCCTCTCCCTCCCCCTCTTCCTCTGCTGCCTCCTGCAGCTCCATACCCCTCAGCAGTTTTGTTGGCAGCACCACCACCCGTGTGGCGCCTGCGGAAGTCCTCCTGCAGAATCTGCTGCCGTAGCCACTCAGGTGTCCACTGGTCCTGCTGAGTGTTGAGGGTGGGGATGAGGTTGTCCCACGAGTTGTCGAGCACCGAGATGATCTTGGTGCACTGCTGCATCTGCGACACATTGCTGCCCGCCGCTGCCATCCTCGCATAGGTGTCCTTGATCTTGTCAAGGACCGGCTTCACATCATCGCCCGGTCGCATGGAGAGGGCAGCCAGCTCCTTCTCCAACACAATCACCATCGGCAGCGTGTTGGGCTGAATCACGTCGCGCAGTAGCTTCCACGCCTTTGGTCCGGAATCATCCAAATCCACCAAATCCTTGATGTGTTGGAACATGTCGTTGTTGACCGATTGAAGGATTAGGTCGTACAGCACCGCGCTCTTCTCAATCCACCGATCGCGGGCGTCTCCTTCCTCCGGCATCTTCTCTTCACCCATCGCAAGTTTCAGCAGCTTGTAGCGCTTGAATGCACTCCGCATCCGCCCGCTCCATTCCTCATAGTTTGAGCCATCCAATGCCTCGATCTTGGATGGTGGCGGCTCATTTCTCTTCTCAGCTGCATCTCCACTCCCTTGACTCATTTCCTCTGCTCCCAAACACAGGTTCCAGCTCCCCCTTTGCTGTCCACACTGAATTCCCACTCAATTTCCACAAGTGTCGGCGCCAACGAAATTTCGGCAGAGTTTCCCCTTAGCGAAAGTCACATGCAACCTCCAGAACTCCACTTAGGCACGCCCACAGGCCATGGTGGGTCTAGGAGGGTCTTCAAACTTCAGTAGACTCTCCACAAAGTCCTTAATCAGCTCTGATACCACTTGTTAGAGACTAAGGACGGAGTCTATGAAGATTAAGGGCCGAGATATCTCAAAATCGTCAACTTCAATTCTGGACAGAATTGTCGACTTCACAAGAAACAATGTCGACGATAAACGCACAGTTGCAATTCTCTTAAACTCAATTATGTTGTCCCCCTTGACCGTGGCTATCGTTCCCAATTTGAATAGTATCAAAATATGGAGTATAACTCGAGTTATGAATTTCGGCGCACTAGGGGGTATGCTGCCATAGAAAACGTAACTCAATCACAATTATCTCACAAGTTCACACAAGAAAGTTGGAGTAGCAATAGAACCAGGTTGGAGGGGATGAGGAGGACGAGAGGGAAGGTCCCCAGGGATTCCCCAACCAAGGAAACCCCATACCACACAATTCCCCTCTCTATAGGCACCCCAACTTTGACATTTGTCACTTTCCCAACTCATTCCATCCACCTCACCCAACTTGGCCACACTTGCCGACCTGGTTTGGCTTCTCCCAACCACTTGGCATCATCTACAGTGATGGTGACGAATTTCCCAACCCCCAAAAGTCTGTACCCCATATTGAGTCAACCCGCAAACTCCCATAGTCGCCGCATCTCAATCAAAACTTCGAACGATCATATCTTTCTCGTTCTTGCTCCGATCGCGGCGATTCTCGGTTCGTCGGGAAGCTCTTGAGCAGAGGAGTCACTTCAGATATCTGCTCAAGCCAAATAACATTCACACACACTCAGAAAATCCAAACAACACCACACACAAATTCTTGCACACACTCACACCACGCATGCAACACACGAACATATGATGGGAGGCAAACAGACGTGAATGCAAATGACAGCATCACATATCAGACTCCACTGAGAACCTGCAGGAAAAGAATCAGTGAAGCCAGGTGGGCTGCGCAGCCAGATCTTCTCGTGCAGGGTGCCCTGCAAGATAGCTGTGCTGAAGTCCAGAGAGTGCAACTCGTAATCACGCTGAGCAGCGACGTGCAGCAACACCCAAAGAGTAGTCATCTTCGGGGTGGGGGAGAAGGTCTGGAAGTAGTCAACTCCCTGTCGCTGACTGAAGCCTCGAGCAACGTAGCGCGCCTTGAAGGCAGGCGGAGAACCCGGCGGCCGCTTCACCCTGAAAATCCACATGCCATCGACTATGTTCGCCCGAGACGGGGTAATTGCGTCGACGTAGGTGCCTGTAGACTTCCAGGATGCCATCTCGGCATCCATGGCTGCCTGCCACTGAGAGGAGTAAGGACCCGTAATCGCCTCTGCGTAAGAGCGCAGGGTTGGGATGTCCGGTGCATCCGGGTCTCCCTCAGGGGCAAGCAGCATGGAAGCGAAACGAGGTACAGCAGCTGCAAGAGAC